ACATGATTTGGCAACTTCTGAACATCGACATTACTTTAATCGCCAAATATTTCCAGAGTAGACATAGTCTTTGTTATCTTGTGGTTTTGTGCTGTGTTCCAACAAGTGGCTTTAAAAATCCTGTTATAGAATTGAAGATGAAACTACTGAGCTATATATTACTGGTTATTCTTGTTTGAAGAAGGTGAACAGGACATAAAAGTTTTCCAGGAATCAAATGCAAATGCTACAACTTCTGAAAACAAAAAAATGCAAGAAACCGGAGTCTTGTTGTTAGAATTAAAATTGTTTGTAGTAATTCATAAAATGTTTTAAACGAGTGCAGTGATGGTGGCTGGATATTATAACAGTAAAATCTCAGTGTTACATCATTTTTGAGAATCCGTATGTGTGTTTCTATAAGCAAATGGGCATAGTAATTATCAGTGTACAGTGAACAAAGGTCTTCTACCACAGTAGATGTTTTTGCTGTATGCTTGCTTTCAGAATATAGTTAAAAGAGCATCAGTGCAGACATGCATACTTTTGTTTGGTCTTCAGCCATGTGGAATGCATATGCCAGGGCCTAGAGGTTAAATAAATAAATAAATAGAATTGTGGTTTGTTCAGGACTCTAAGTATTTGGTCACTTCTAGAAGAAAGGTCTTTGATCTAAGAGTCTGGAAAGAGGAAAATTGCAATGTTTTAGATACAGTTCATTGCTTGCAAAAGCCACATGAAAACTTCTTTTGTAGCTTTATCCTTTCCATAGATGGACAGCTTCTTTATTTTATAGAGTTCAGAAGAAGTATGTTTGTTTGTCAAAAAGCTTTAAACTGTATTTATTGTCTGGTATAATACATAAAAACTTATGAGAACAGGGTAGAAAGAGCTTCTTAACCTGGTAACTACTAAAATTTAGAAGTTGTTGGGTGGTGGTGTTTGATGCTTTTTTAAATCTTGGGAGGTTGGTAATAAAATATGTACATTCATGCACTGGTGGGATTTGGAAGCTTAAAGTTCAGCAGTTTTGCCCAAAATGAAATGGCGAAGTTTGTATAGCACCCAGAAGTATTGTAGGTATGTGGGAAGTCCTAGACCCTATCTGGAAGAGCTTACTGCCTAAATAGCAACTTGTAAACAGAGGGGACAAATGAAATAAACCTCCTTTTCCAGATGGTTTGTGAAAACAAGGTTCTGAGAGAACTTAATTTTTAAAGGACCATAACCTGATTCTCATTTTTATATATTTTTATATATGTAGCCATCCTACACTGAACTAATGCCAACAGACATTTCCGGTGTTAGCTCTTTAGTAATACATAGCAGCACCACTTAGAATTTTAGGACAGGAAGTGAAGATTTTTGTATACTGCAGAAGAATTTATATGTCACATAACTTTCCAAGCAGGAATTTCTTTAGGACAGAAAGTGCCCTGTGATATTTAAGTACTTCATTTCAAATAAAGCACATTTTGGGAATTTTGGCTTCAACTTTAAACGGGACCATAACAGAGCTTTCAAAGTTGAAGCCAAAATTCCCACGTGCTGAAATGTTGCAGGATCAATCCCTTTGTAAAAATAATATAGGGCGGAGATAGGCTGGGAGACCAGCAGCCAAGAGCAGACATGGACTGGGGCGCGGGCAGAGAGTCTGGTGACTGGGGCTTGGAGCTTACCGGGGCTGCCCACCAGGGCTGGGTGCAGAGCGGGCGTGGTGGCCGGGATCGGCAGTAGAGCCAATTGGGCAGGAGAAGAACCTGACTGGGAGACTGGTGGCCTCCTGGAATAGTCCAGAGCTTGGCAGCGGATGGGGATGGAATTTTTTACCTCCGTTGATCCGGCAAACTCTCTCATTAGGGACTGGTCAGGTCCTGATGGTATCAGACTAGGGAGGTCCAACCTGTGCATTAAATCAAATCACTCAGAAATATTTATTCCACAGAGGGAATCTGAGGGTGCATCTACATAGCACCCTTACCTCGAAATAGCTTATTTCGAAAATTGGCACTGTCTACACAGCGCCAGATTTCAAAATCAAGCGCTATTCCAAAACGTCCCTTAATCTACGTTCAATAAGGTTTACAGGGATGTCGGAGTAGCGAGCCCATTATATTTTGATATAACGGACTTGCTCTTAAGACGCAGAATAGCTATTTCGGGATACTGGAGGTATCCCAAAATACCTCTGCAGTGTAAACGTAGCCTGAGAGATTTCCTTTTAACACCAACACAAATGGTTCAGCCTTCAAATGACCCTTCTTTCTTGGTGTGAGAGACTTCACATGACACTGTCTTCAGCACTGTCATTTCATGGAGCTACTTTGGCAGTTTGAGATCCTCCTTTACCTTTTCTTCTCTCGCTATTATACCTGTATTTCAGATGTTTTTGCATTCCTGGCAGTGCTTCCATTTTCAGCTGGCCTCCACAGAGGCATCCCAATTGCAACAGTAGTGTGCTGCCAATAGACCACCACATACCCAATATTTTATAAATTTGCATGTACTGTTACTTGAAGCATAATTACTTTCTTTAAAGTAATTGTGTAAAAATACCACTCGGGGATAATTAAATTGATTCTTACAAAGGAAGAGGATTTTTTTAAAGATCCAGAAACCTTAACACTGTCCTCTTTTGGAATGCCTGATTCATAACTGCATACAGAGAGTTTGCCTTTTCAGATAAAACTGTAGCCTTGTTCCCTTACTGAATTTTAGGACACCTGTCTTCCCCCACTTCATCTTTTGTTTTCATAGTACAGTAAAATGCCAATAGTCCAGCATCCAATTGTACGGCACTCCCGATAGTCCGGAATCAAAATGGCAAGAGCCTAGTGAGTGAGCTTCGGCAATAAACACGTCACAAGGCAGCAGCAACAACAGCTGAACCGAGCGAAACTGTATGGAAGAGAGTCAGTGTGCCACTGGCATTGTGTGACGCTGGACAGTGCTTGTGCTACAATAAAAAGGGTTAAAAACACTTTATATACAGTATATACTGTGTGTGTGAAAATATATATATATATATATATACATAAAAAACCATTTTATAGTACCTCCTAATAGTTGGGCATATCCGATAATCTGGCACCACCTAGGTCCCAAAGGTTCCAGAAATCTACTGTATTTGATTTTCTCTGTAGTAGGTTGATCTTTTCTGAGCGTACATTTTGGGGTACAATCCTGCAAGGTTTCTAGTGTCTTAAACTCTCTTGGTAGTCAAGGGGAGTTGAGGATTCTCAACACCTTGTGTGATTGGGAAAGCTGTAGTAAAAGTGAATAAAATGTTAGCTATGCATACATAAAACATTAAATAGCTATATAACATCCTGACTGTGACAATTTATTGCTCCTACCATATCTAACAGAATGTGACATAATAGAGAATGTTTACACTTTGTGTTCTGGTATTGGTGTTTTAGTTGTGTTTATGAACTTGCAGAAGTACAGTCTCTTGAGATTTCCTTTTATATTTTCATGCCAATCAAAATAATTGCAGGTTGGTGAGAATGAGAAGTTGGAATTATTTTAGGATAGTGTAGCTTTTTAGTGTATTTTCAACTAAACGCTACTTTACCTTCCTTAATTTGTAAATCTGTACTGCTTAAACCCATCGTTAATCTGCTCGAGGCATGCAGGCATATTCAGTTTCGAAATGCGTTCTATCGGGTTCTGCAGATATGCTTTTGCAAGCGGTTAGGCCTTCAGATAGAATACAGCTTCACATTGGAAAGTCATCAGAGTTCGAGATAGGCTAGCTTATTTGAAAGTCATCAGAGTTCGAGATAGGCTAGCTCATTTAAGATGATGTAATTAATCAGTCTCATACAGTTCAGGGCTGTTTCTTAAACTACGTTTTTTAGTGTTTTGTTCAAACTGGATATAAATGTCTCAGGTTAAGGAGCCTTTTGCTACTTTCCATGAGTAGACATTTCCTTGAGTGACTATGTCTTGCTGACAGGATTTTTCCTCTCAGAAATCTGAATTTTCCCTTTAACTGTCTCTTTCCTGGACTCCTATGTCCCTAGTTAAATCAAACCTCTCCATGCTTAGAATTCATACTCTCAAATACTTGTAGATAAATAACATATCCCTCTCCCATTTCTTATAGCTTAGCCATCCTGTATACATATTTGGCTCTTCTAAACATCCCTCACCAACTAATCCCACCAGCATTCTGACTGTTTTTATGAAAAGATGCAACAGTTAATGTTTGAAGTGAATTGACAGCTTATTAATAGCTATAGGAAATGGTGTTTTGCACTTTCTTAGTTGGAAATATATGTACACCTTCTGTAGTATAATAATCAGCTGTTAATATCTGTAATTTTAGTGTAATATGTAAGCCAGTTGGTTTCAGTGACCAACACTGCTTCGTTCATGCAAAATCTGACTTGTCTTAAATCTCATGCAATTTCAGTGATGTCAGTATGGTTGGCTGGGTGTATAGTAAGTCAGCATTGAGTTCAATTCTTGTTCCGTTAGCTGCCCGAAAGCATATGTCAGTGGACACCTGAAAATTCAAAGGTAGTGACTAGTTTGCATTAGTTAGAATGAATATCATTACATTATTATATTTTCTTGAACATTCCTGTGTAGGCCACATTCTCTTTCTATACACTGATGGAGCTCTGACTTCAGTGGAGTTACATCAGTTGACACTACCAGGGAACTTGGCCTGCTGTTTTTAAAAGGTCATCTGTAGATGTGAAATCAAGATTTGTTTTGCCTTTTCAAATTGACAGAATATGTAAATTCTTCTCAGAGTGATATTTTCTTCATAATGGGATTTACAGAATGTTAGAAAGGGATTAGGTATTTTTATAGTAACTGTAGTGCAAGCCAGGTCCTTTTTAAAAAACATTTTCTCGGCAGATTTTATTTACTCAGATTAAACTGAGGGTAATATTTTGTGTTCATTTACAGAGAGCCCAATCAACTTATTTTGATTTTAATTATTTCTTCTGGGAATTGTCATTACTTCATTTTTTTCCTCTTTGTTGTTGTTTTCTAAAACCCAGATTTAGGTCGTTCTCGAGAACTGCAATATGTTTATGTGGATAACAATATTCACCTGAAAGGGCTGCCTTCCTATCTGTATAATAAAGTCATTGGTTGCAGTGGGTAAGTATGACTTAACTTAATGTCTTGCATATATTTATTTCCTAAACCTCTCAACAAATACTTGCCTGTGTGATACAGCTGAACTTTATTTTGGGTTATTTCATTCAGGACTAATGTTACTTTGAAGAGATTACTTTAGCTGTCTGATCTATATTACTTTTGTAATATTCTGCATTAATTTGCTGAACATTTAATATTTCAGCACTAAGCCATGACAACCAGAGGATTTGTAGATATTTGTAGGGAACATTTACTAAGCCATGACAACCAGAGGATTTGTAGGGAACATTTATTGATAAAGCTGAAGCTGAAGACAGTGTTGACATTTGGCCCAAAGTGTAGGCTTCATTGAAACATGCTTCTTCAAAATAAAAAGACCAATAAATATATTCTATGTTTTGTATATTTCAATTATCTTTAATAAGTAAATATCTCTTATAGTGTTGGCATCAATACATTATCACCCTGGACTAGTTAGTGTGTTCTCAGAACTTCGCCTAGAACGGACTATATCTGAATAGAATTTCATATGGCCCTTTCCTTTCATTCATACTCTCATAACATCGCTGTACCACCTATTTACAGTGCTTAGCACTCAAACTAAATAATTTTCAACAAATTGCAATCCAATTTGTGTGTATATGTAAACATATCTTAAACCATCTTATGTTTGTGATTGAGGTGAGGAGAAAATGTGCTCTTCAGGACACTTGCCTGTTTATTCTCTGATTTGGGGTATGTCTACTATATGAAATTAAGTCAAGATTGACTTTAGCTTCTGATTTTATAAAGTTGAAGGTGCATGTGGTCAACAGAGTGCATCCTCACAACTAGTATTGACTCTCACAGTGATGCACTGTGGATAGCTATCCTACGGTTCTTGCTGCCCATTTGAATTCTGGGTTAAGCTCCCAGTGCCTGATGGGTACATATTGTCAGCCTCCTATGATACACTTATCTCCCTCCCTCTGTGCTTGAAAGCAATGGCAAACAGTCATTTCACATGTATTTTTCCCCAGTTATCCATTCAGATGTCATAGCATGACAAGTGTGGAGCCTACTCTGCTGCAATCTGATTTGGCAAGCATTGCTAACACCACCTGCTTTATCCCATGGTTTGTCCAGAGCCTAGCCAGGAGCCACCTGAGCGAAGAAAAATGTGGGGATGCCACCTGCACAGATATGCAGGAACCCACTGACTGGAGCAGCTGGCATATGCTGGTAGCAATCAGGCATGTTGATCCAGTGGAATGCCAGTACTGGTCGTACGAAACAAGCACAGACTGGTGGGACCACATAGTTATGCAGCTATGGGATGATGACCAGCGGCTGCCAAATTTTTCCATGCATAAGGCCACTTTAATGGAACTTTGTGAATTGCTTCCCCCTACTCTGATGCACACCAATACCAGAATGAGACCTACTCAAAAAAGTGACAATGGCCTTATGGAAGCTTACAACACTAGATTCCTACTAGTCAGTTGGAAATCAGTTCAGAGTGGGTAAATCCACAGTCACAGCTGCTGTGAGCCAAGGAAATCAATATCTTTCTGCTAGGTAGAATAGTGACTCTAGGGAATGTGCAGGACATAATGGACATCTTTGCCACAATGTGGTTCCCTAATTGAGATATGGTGATTAGGATATGCATTCCATTTACCTTGGCACAGACTGCCTTGCCAAAGAGAACATAAACCACAAGGTGTTGCAAGTGCTGGGGAGTCACAAGGCCTGTTTCACTGACATCAACATGGGATTGTTGGAAATGGTGCATAATGCACCCATCTTTAGGAACTCCGGTCTCTTCAGAAAGCTTCAAGATAGAACTTTCTTCCCAAACCAGAAATTCACCACTGGAGATGTAAAAATGCCAATAGGGATCTCGGAGACCCAGCTTATCCCTTTTTCTCATGGCTCATGAAACATACAGGCAGCCTGTACAGCATTAAGGAGCATTTTAACTTCAGGCCTCGCAAGAGCAGAATGGTGATAGAATGTGTCTTTGGCCATTGAAAAGGATGCTGGTGCAGTTTATTGACCAAGTTAGACCTCAGAGGAAGAATAGTCAGATTTGCGGCTGGACTCACCACACTGACAAAATAGGAAATAAATTTCAAAAGTTCCTAGGGCTTTTCCTGTGTACCTGGGAGTGCAGAAGAGTTGAAAGTATTGGCCAGAGAGGTCTCATTTGGGTCACTGCGGAACACCTTCCAGAGTCCAAAATCGGCAAATTTAATAGCATCATGTCTATACTACCCCAAATGCAATCCCCAAATGTCAAATGTAATGCTACTTCTCTTGTCATGGTGGATTACAGAAGTCCATTTTAAAAGTCCTTACAGGGCTTCAGAAGAAGGGGCTTGGTGGTGTAGAAACATTCTTTATGACATTGACCTAACTCCGCTAACTTTGACCTAATCTGATAGTGTAACCATGCCTTATACTATCTTAATTCAAGAGTGTCTCCGCTGAAATGAATGTAATGCTGGTGCAAAAGTGGTGAGAGGAGTGCATGCCCCAGTATCTTTTAATTATAAAATTACTATGCTCTTCTTCTCAACTATGCCAGATTAATTATTACTCCTCTTTTACAACCAATGCCTTTTTACAGTATTGCAGTACACCTGAGAATTGTTAAGGTTTTCCTGATAGCCAGAGGTCGTTTCTGTTTATTGTTGTGATATACAAGTACTAGGGGGCTGTGCCCCCTGCTCGTTATGCTCACCAACCCCCTTTTCTCTAGGAGTAGGCAGCCCTGGGTCTCTCCCTTCATCAGGCAGGGCCAGGCCAAGGCATGGCAGACCTGGCCTGCCTGCTCCCCCTCTGGCTGCCCTGAGGCCAGGCCAGCCCCTGCTTCCCGCCCCACCCCCCAGCTGCAGCGAGGAGAGGCCAGCACCGGGTCTCCCCCGCCCCCCAGCCACCAGGGGTGGAGGGCACCAGAGCTGGGCCAGCCCCGGCTCTCTTCCTTTGGCTGCTAGCTTCCCTCCCTCCCCGAGCAGGAGGGAGGCTGCCGTGTGGCAGCCCTGGCTCTGAGGAGAGAGAGAGATTTTGCAGCTAGGTCACAATTTTATTTTTGCCAGGTGGAGTCTTTCTGTGCTGATCATAAATTTTACTGAACTTATACGAGTACAGGCAGTCCCCGACTTACGCGGATCCGACTTACGTCGGATCCGCACTTACGAACGGGGCCCTCTCCCTGGTCTCCAGCAGACCAGGGAGAGGAAGCAAAGCAGTGGAACACGCGGGGACCGGGCAGCCCC